ACCGTCTGGTGACAAATGTTACGAGGATGTGGACGTCGGCTTCCCGAACCTTACTCAAAACATCACCTCGTGTAACAGAACCGGTCTGAGAGTGATGATAGTCATCACAAGGACACCACCACAAATTGAGCGTATGGGCGTGTGTGAGGTGGATATTTACGGTATATATATACTTTATAGTGTAACGTAATGCCAGAGATGATTGTAATACAGAAACTGAAATAATGACTTATAAATTTCATATAAGTATGAACTGATGTGGCTCAAATTCATCTTGCATATAAAGCGTTCAGTTAAGAATATGGTACAGTAGTTCATACTGGTATTATTATTTCAAGATTATAATTTCATTTTGTGTACAAGTAATGCAAATACGTATTAACGACTGTGTTATATCAAAGTACATACATTTCTATCAATATATATATATAAAGGTTAATTTTTAAAATAAATGTACCTGTATTTTCCTCTGTGTTTTCTCACAACGTTTGTTATTAATATAAATACAGATTTTAACAATTTAATTTCCAGGTTGTTTTACACATAAATATGGTGACCAGTGTCAATTCAATTGTACCAACTGTAAACACGGCTGTGACCCTGACAACGGAGTTTGTGATTCTACACACTGTAATGCTGGCTGGACTGGACCACGGTATTGTAACCAAAGTATGTAGTATTAGGGGCACGTGTCTTTATAAGCATTGTGTTAACCCCGACACAGCAGTCTTAAATTATAACATGTTTAAGATGGTTTGTATTGACCACCATCTAACAATTAGAAACATATAGATGTAGGACAAGGAAGAAAAAATAACCCCGACGCCAGAGACTTTGATTCATTTCATATGATATAGAGCGGGCTTGTAAGTAACACGATCAGACAGCATCATGTAACAATTATAAACTTAACAATACAAGACAAGGAAGAGCCATAATTACAAAGCTACTTCAGAATATATATAAGTGTTTTGTAAGAGGGAAATGTATTGGGCGACTCAACACAATCAAAGCTTTCTACAAAATTCAGTTTCTCGCCAGCATGTACTCTGCAGATTTTTATTCAAATTAACCTCATGCAGTACACTTACANAGTACACTTTAGGGCGCCTGGTTTCTTACCATGAACTCTAACATTTGGACATTTATCTCTCTCTCTCTCTCTCTCTCTCTCAATTTATATATTTTTTAATTTATTACATACGTGATCGTTAATAGACAGAAAAAGGGAAAGCGTCGAATTTCATTGATTCCTTGGAAAAATCGGAACAATCAGAATAATTCTGACATTCTTTGCAATGCAATACTAGATGGTAGTTTTTAATCGTCATTATCATATTTATTAGAAATATTACAAAAACTTTGTGTTGTATTTGATAAGCCGGAGCAGAAAACTTTAACATGCACACATAGCACACCAAAAAATGTTATTTACATCGGTTAGATAAATATCTCTAAAGGGTTCAGTGCAGTAACATTAATTATGTATGTAATCTCTATTTCAGCTTGTTCATCACTTACATTTGGAGAGAACTGTGTTCAGGAATGTCATTGTAAGACGCCCGGATGTAACGGAGAGACCGGACACTGTAACACACCAGGATGCCAGGCTGGTTACCATGGGAGTAGTTGTAGCCAAGGTTCGTCACGGCTTTTGGTATCGTTATCATAAATCATTTGTCCATTTGCCGACAGAAAATACAATTCAAAGATATTTAACATTTACAATCAATTTCATTAATTCTTTGTTGTTTATAAACCGACAACAAAATCAAGGTCAGTACTGAAGAGCAATGTATGACATTCCGATGAATTTCTGAATAATGTACGAGTGCATTACAATTACGATGTTACGTGATATGTAGGGTATGATAGTTACATAGCGTTACGGTTATTGTCTACCTCACAATAAAGACCAGCGTGCTATTAACTCCATCTTCTCTAAGACCCCAAGTTGGTCTTAATGAACAGGTTTAATTATACTAGGTAAATAAGGGTTCTTGTTTTTATAAGTCAGTAGAAATTAATATGTTTCATCACTTTCAGTTTGTTCGAACACAACGTTTGGCGTGAACTGCTCATCCACATGTAACTGTGATACTCCTGGTTGTGACTTAGTAACAGGTCATTGTAACGTACCCGGGTGTGCAGCCGGCTGGAAGGGGGAGTCATGTCATATACGTAAGTTTTGGGAATTCAATACGGCTAACATTTTTTATTTGCATAAACAAACTTCCTGTTTAAATATCCATTAGTCAAAATCATATGTCTTCAATAAGCTTACTCAAGTATAACACATGCAGTGTCAGAGGAATGGGTAACCAAGTCTATAACTTTTATAAATAATACCAATTTAAATGTTTATTTGTTTTGTATTCCAGTAAGAGGTAGAGGGAACGTTTGAATGAATAACTTCCTTTACTCACGTGACACTAGCAAATTGTCATCAGATCTTTTCAATTTAAGATAAAGTTAACACACTTTGATGTTTGCGCTGTTAGAATGAATGTTATCATTTTATGCAGGATACTCTGTTTAGAGATTACCTTACTATGACGTCGTAATATCTCATCGGCCACAAAGATTAACGGGAAAACCCGAAGGATATCTGTTCCGTCATCGTCTCTTTACTCTCGGGTCTGGACAAGTTGTTTATTTGGGTGTGCGACAGGCTAAACTTATATTTTGTCTTCAGATAATTTATGTTTTTTTTTCTGCAAATAAAACTGGTTAAAAAATTATAATTTTACTGTAGATACTCTGAAATCTATATTTTTGCAACACGAAAGGAAATATCTGGAATGCAAAAAACTCTTACTGTTAATGCTAATCACTTATGATACAATATTCTAAAGAGATGTTGAGCAAATGATACGCCGTTCCTAGAGCTTTGCAGTTTTGACATTAACATATTTTCTTGTTTTTGTTCCAATTACGTGTGTAGGAAACGTTTCAATGAAATGCTACCCTTTGTTACGTGACAACAAAGAATTTCCATAAAGGGCAAAGTAATAGCTACTTGAACCTATTGGTCATGTTGTACATAATGAAGACACACAAATTTACAAACGCGTGTGTGTTTGTCAATTAAGTCTAGTATTCAAAAAACTGTTTTTAATTCTGATTTTGTTTGTCCTTGATAAATTGATTTATAAAAGTCACATTTTGTCAAGGACTTATACAAATAAAGTCGAATAACAATTTTAATATTTATATTGACTTCTTGACCATGGTTCATGAGTTAAGCCAGTTACAAGACAGCTGTCTGGAGCATAGAATTCACGCGTGAGTACGAAAATGGTTTCATGAATACAGGCCCAGATCTTCATCTCATGGTTATGCATCACAAATGGATACAAACGACATCTGAAAGTTATGAGTATCCTTAAATAATAATAACTTTTCTGTAATAGCTTGTTCCGACGGAGTGTTCGGTAAGGGATGTACCACTCGATGTCACTGCGATGTACCCGGATGTGATAAGGCAACTGGTACTTGTACAAACACAAGTGCAGGATGTTTGGATGGCTGGAATGGTTCTTCTTGTAGCCAAGGTAAATAAGGTCCATTTAACTGAAAATCTGAATTTATATTTTATAACTAAATGAACATTGAGCCAATGTAAATACTGTATTCTAATATTCTGAATTTCATTATTATAACTGAATAAAATCGCAGTTGTTAAAATGTTCAATGCTACTTACTTTTTTTAATTTTTCTATAGCATGTGTTGCTCCTTATTTTGGAAACAAGTGCACATCACAATGTAGATGTAAAACAGTTGGTTGTAACCACGTCTATGGGACATGTGCATTATCTGGATGTATATCTGGGTGGATGGGAACGTCATGCTCCAAAAGTAAGCACTGATTTATCAAATTTATTCTTTTAAGTATTGTTATGAACTTCACCAGATTAACATTGCATGTCGTCCTTAATATATCTTTATTCATATCTGTGCGATATTTGTCATTATATTTACAGCATGTACAAAATTTATTAGCTACAATTATGAAATAATTACCTACAGAATGTACCGAAAACAAATTTGGAGAAGACTGTCTCCTCACATGTCATTGTATGACCCCCGGATGTAGCCGCTTCAATGGAACCTGTTTGTCATCAGATGGTTGTAGTGATGGATACGTTGGTAGCTCGTGCAGTACAAGTAAGAATTACTATGGAATCAATATACAACACCAACAAAACTTTAATATAATAAAAAAGTAACATTCAGACCTTTCAGTGGGTCATGATACATTTTACAAATATAACTTAATAGTTACACCATGTATGAGAATTGCGGTCTGTTGTGACAGATTTACTAATAACCAAAACATTTGCACTGAGACTTCGCGATCAATCGATTAATATATGCTTAAATAGTTACCATTGAGACCTTCGTACAATAATGACATCTTTTTCTTAAGATGAAACATTTCTAATTAAAAATAGTCTTGTTTATTTACGATAGCAAATATCTTATAGGGTTTTAGGACGAAACATTGTTAATCATGTAACACATTGACATTTCTTTAATCAGAATGCAAATCAGGACATTTTGGTGCTAACTGTACGAAACAATGTCATTGTAAGGATACTGCATGTAGTCATGTGACAGGAAACTGCTCTGCATCCGGATGTCTGCCAGGCTGGAGGGGTGACACGTGTAGTGAACGTTAGTATATCTTCATTAGAAGGTCGTGCAAGATTTGTCTGTGGTAATTATCACTTTCCTGTGCGTAAATGACAGAGCTGTCTAGGGCAGGTGACATGCTTAACGTAATAGGATTGTGTCACCATTTTTCAGTAGAATTTCTTCAAATTTTGTAGTTATATTGCTTTAAAGTAAAGAAAATTGTCTGCCTCAAAGAAAATATAGGTTGTCAGAATTTTAAGGATTTTAAATGGAAATTTATGTAAAAAGGAGTGAATTTTGAAAAAAAAATGAAAGACATAAGATTTTTACAAAATAATGTCAATACAAATGATACTGACATATATTAGTATTGCATTAATGTATATCAATTTAATAAATGCTGAAATTGTGTAAAATTAATTCTCTAAACACGATATAAAAATTGACATTTTATAATAAAACCATATACACATAGTATCTGCAGGTAATAGTTATCGTTCTTGAAAAAATTCACAGTAGTGAAATAGGTAGCCGGGTTCCTGAAGTACAGAAAAATGAACACATGTGACTCATTGATACAAAAAACACCTGAATTAACGCCTGGATTGCTTTGAAATACTTTAATATTGAGAGAACACACTGTTCTGTCAATAATAAACACACAATATTCATCAGTTTAATATTAAACATTAGAAAATGCGGAAATTGTGATACTGTCTCCCTACATTGGATTTTCATCTAGGGATGTACTTCCTGTTTCCGTATATCAATACACTCCAATGACCTTAATGGGACAATAAATGACTTGACGTCACGAGTTAGGAAACATTCCGATCAATGATGCGGACATTGGGGTGCTTTATGTGACTTCGGGGCTAATTGTGGTGATCGGAAAGGGAGAAAAATACTCTTTTATGCCAAGGGTTGTAGGATAGGAAAATACTCTCAGGATTTAGAAAAACACCCTCTTGAGTGGAATTTCCCTAACGTACAGCACTGGGCATATTAATTTACCGTTATTTAAAACTTGCCGGTGCTTAGATAAAAGCTTAAATTTAATTTGAAAAAAACACACCTTCAAGGTACGCGTAAAATAGAAAGGTCGCTTTATTTCGCTTCGGGAAATACATCTTATCTTGGGGAAATAGAAACTTAGCAATTACGACAAATACATAGTTGAACTTTATACTTGTATGATATTTGCTTTGAATACGTCATTGTTTCCTACTTTAATAGTGATAATTGATCCATTTTTCACACTCTTTGCAAAGTGTAACATATGATCTAGATCATTGTGAAAATCCCCCCCCCC